ACACACCTTAATGTTCTTAGATAATTTTACTCAAAATACTTATTATAATTAGTAATACTTACTGACAATATTTTGCACATACTCTGGTGTTGTGAAATATGTGCTCTTGGTAAAAAATTGTCCAATATCTTGCGCACACCCTAATGCTGTTAAAATATTTTTCTTACAAATTCTTGTGTAAATTAATTTTAGCATTTTTGTTGAAAAAAAAAGATTTTCTATAAAAAATTTACCGCACACCCTAATGTTCGAGAAAACCTTTACACACAAATACCTATTTAAACTCACATTTAAAATATTTTACAAAAAATATTAAATTTTATAAAGAAAATWTTGCGCTGTGAAATATTTGCTCTCAAAGTTACCTGTGTAAACGCGCATTTAGCATTTAGATTTGAAAAAAAAATCTTTATATGCCACTTTTAAGCGTAATTCCGCCAGCYAGTCTCGCAAGCTAGTAAGATTTTGTCACATTTTTTTGCGTTACACTGTAAGCCCAGGTGATTTACGACTATTTAATAGCTTCAACGCGGCGCATTAACTATACATTATATGTATGTGTTGGTGTTGTTGGTGTTAATGAGACTCCGCGCTTGACATTATTGAGCTATTATGTGCCATAAAATATTTATCAAACTATTTTATGGCAACAGACGCGCAGATAAAATCCAATAAAGAAGTATAATCTATATTATATACTAAGTAAAGATATATATACATACATATATAAATTTCTTATCCGGTTTAGATTTAAATATAAAAAGCTGAATGATAAACTCCACGAATGCCATTTCACATTTGAAACCTGTAATTCATCAAAACATCTAATTTTGCATGCATTGGAAAAAAATTAAATTAAAGCTGACAACTTGTTGTCACCCGTGCGCACTACCACACCCCGTTCCCTACAGCGTGAATCACTGCAAGTGTGTATGCGGACGGTATTTAGCTTGATATTTTGAAAAAAAAAATGTACATACATACATATATACATAAGCTATATATATGTTTSCAGTTCGTCGCATCCGCGCTCGAGTTCGACTTTGAGATGTTACAAAAACTTATTGCACGTTATACTCATGACTTTGGCTTATAGCTGACTGCCAATTAAAATTGCTGAGATTATTTTGCAATTAATTTTAATTAACGGCAATTTTAACGCTAACAATGACGCAGCCAAAAARTGTGCTGTAAGTAAAATAACAATAACAACAAGAAAAGTGACAACAACAATAATTAYATTTTGTTTACCAAATAAAGAAAATTCATGAAATAATTACTTTTTAGATTTTTTCGTTTTTGTTAATAACCTAACAGCAGGAATTAAGAAAAAAATATATATATTTTAATTAAAAAAAGTAAACATTGCGGCAAAAGCTGTCAAATAGTAATTACATACTTGCCACAAAAGCAACTGCAGGCGGAATTTTTTTTGAAAAATTCGTTAATTATTTCTAATTTAAAAAATATTCTAATTTTAGCTGGCATATATATTTTATTGTTTTTTATAATTTCTTTTATAAATTTGTATTTTTATAAATTTCTAATTCTCTACTTCTTTTCCACTCTTTTCCCACACACAGTATGATGATGGCCTGCATGGCTATGGTATGGACTCGGGTGCTGCAGCAGCTGCCATGTACGATCCACATGTCGGACATCGGCCGCCCGGATTACAAGGCCTCCCCACGCATCATTCACCGCACATGACACACGCTGCTGCGGCGGCGGCAACAGTTGGCATGCATGGCTACCACACTGGCGCTGGTGGTCATGGTACACCTAGTCATGTATCACCGGTTGCTAATCACTTAATGGGCGCAATACCCGAAGTACATAAACGTGATAAGGATGCGATCTATGAGTAAGTACTGTTTTTACTTATTTTTTTTCTAAAAATCTCTTCAAAAAGTTTAGTTTAAATGAAAAAGTATATGTTCTTTTTTATGCTCCAACATGTTTTTAATCCGGCGTGTTTGCTTAGCCGTAGAAATTCTTACGAATTCGCTCTTCATACTCTTACGCTACGAGCTGCTTGCGTAACAAATATTGCTTCCTTACTRCAGACCTCGTGCTTTTTAGGCAAAAAAGTATAATTTTTTTAAAAAATATTTTTCTATATTTTTTCTTTTTTTTTTATATTTTGTCCTGCCTTTGCTCAGTGATTAAGTGTGGCCACTTTGATGTACCGGCTCGCAGCTAAAGAAATTTGAAAGCGCAAACGAAAAAAAGCAAAGCTCTCATTTCACTCACCTTCATATTTGTGGAGCATGCGTGCTACAAATTTTTTGTTGTTGTTTTTTTTCCTCTTCCGTTTTGAGGGCGTTATTCGAGTGTAAATTGTTAAATTAGGGGTTCGTGAAATTGCACGCTTGAGCGTGTCCTACTTGGCGCTGATTAAAAGCCAAATTTATTAGGGGTTAGTTGCTTAGTTGAGCAGTTAGTTGAATTATTGTTGTTGTTGTGTTAACATTTACTTTTTATTTGTGGACTTAGAGCAGCATGGGARTGCGGCAAGTGTTAATTTGTTGATTTTAGACCGACCAGCTGTGCCGGCGACGACCATTTAGAGACAAGATGCGAGAGTGAGAAAAAGTTGCAATGAGTGGCGATTAGTTGAAGAATGGCGAATATTTATATAAAAAATATAATAAGGAAGTTATTAAAGAACACGTCGATTGCAATTTGAGCGCCCTTTGCGCCACTTTTTTTTTGTGATATTTCGCGCCTGTGCGCACTTGCAATGGCGGGCACTATTGCTGCCTCTGGCACATCACTTGATTGCAACTGCTGCCTCAGGTGTAAATGCGCACAATTACAAAATTTTAATTTGCACATTGCGTGTGCGTATATAATAAGTAGAAATAACTCAAGAAAATATATAGATAATATATGTATATATCTACCACATAGCTGCCTTGCGCTGTCCAGTGCGCGCCGCTCCAGCGCCGTACGACTATACTTGAGTGCGTAGCGCAAGCGCTATTAGCATTTTGCATTCAGTTATGCAGCGATTAGTTTACCGTTTACCAATCCATTTGTGTTCTTAGTTGAYTTCTGCCTTCTTTTCTGTTCTTTTTGTGTGCTGSTGCTCACTTGCTTGCAGCGCAGAACTGATTTCCGTTTAGCGACTACCATAAAAATAACTAACCACTCATTAAAGCTGTAAACTTCTTTCGTATACGCGCGGCTAGCAGCCGTAAGCTGCATGTGAACTGCAGTTTGYGCAGATAGTGACCATGGCACTTAACGACCAACTTAATCCTTATGGCCATGGCCAAGAGTCAGGCAGCTCAGCAGCAGCAGCAAGTAGTGCGCACTATCTGCACAGCATGGCTTGCAACATTCCGCATTGTTGACGTTATCGCAAAAGCTGAGCACTAACACGACAAGCCTGCTCAAGCATACATGAACGCACCGCGCGTACCCCAACAGCCACAGCGATACACACACACACACTTTTGTTGCGAGCGACACGGCKCACACTTTGGCGGTCATAAAATGGGGACACACAACACCGGCCATRCAACCGGCCAGCCTCAACGGTAGCTTAGCAACAAACGATGGAAAGCAGCCGTTTGCGCGTTGCATGTGGCTTGAATGCGCATTGCATTGCGTGTATGCGTTATGTTGCCACCGCGCACATGCATGCCACATAGATATTGTTGCGTAGCAGACTTGGCGGCTTAGCGGCGCATATGCGTGCTTAAATACATACAAACATATGCATATGTACGTATATATATATATATATATATATATATGTGCTGTTCGCTTGTTGCCTCCATTTAATGGGTGCACGCGCTACAAGCAAGTACCGGCTGACTGCTTGTGCTTTTTCTTTCTCACAAGCTCCATATATGGGCGCGCCACTGCATCTTCCGGCGCGCACCATTGTGCAGCATGCAACGCCACCGTGCGCTTTCTTATTTAAATGCCTTCATTCATGACAACACACAATATTGTCGGGAAATTTCGTTGACCGTTCGTTCGATTCAAATGGGCTGCGTTTTTTTTGTAGCTTTCTTCCTTCCTTTGTCGTGTGGCAAGCCTGGTAAATAGCTGCTTTTATTTAATAGGCGCAAATATTTGCACATTCTGCTCAACACAAACAACACACAAAAACAAGAAAAAACGGTATTCATATGCGGCTGTTATATCTTCCTGTTGCGTTGCGTGTAATAACTCGCAATTTGCAACATTTATGAATTTATGAATGAATGCAATAAGGCTAACGAACGCAGCCGCATATTATATGCAAATTTGCCTTTAAGCATTGGAAGGCAGTAGGCTATGGACACCAGYATCTAGTCAATCATGCAAAATATTACTGTTTTTTGCCGCTGCAAGTTGTAAGCTTTGCTGTGCTTGCAAATATCAATCAGCTGCGCACACATACATACATGCGTGTCCAAGCAATGAATGCATATTTCCTTGCTGTTCTACATACTATATTTGCATTAAATGCCTYTTATTAATGCACTGTTGTTTCCACTGCTCAGTAGTGCCAATTAAAAGCGCTCTTTTTCGCTAACACAGACTCGTTATCTCCATCTCGCTCTCTGCCGCTCACTAAACTCACTAATAAGTGTTAATTTGTATTGTCTGCATGCTTCAATCAAGCACCGGCTCCGTTCTGAGCGCTCTATGCCACGCAATGCGCCTGCTACTACAACAAATCTATACATTGCACGCCTGTCTGTTTTTGTGACAAGTTGTCATATTGTAATATGTCATCTTTTTGACAGCAACATAAATACCCGCGTCACTTGTCGCATTGTCTGTCGGTCATTTGCTTTTGCAGAAATGATCAACCGTCTGTTTGTAGTTGATCAATAAAAAGTAAAAATTCTTATATATATAACTCAATATATATATTTGCCATTCACAAGCCRCCGAAGTCGAACGACCCTCGACGCAACGCACGCATGAGAGTGTCGTTTTCCAACTTTTGCTTATCAAATATACAATTTGTATCCGTCATAAGCTGTTGTGGATTACTAATTAATGCGTAGAGTGAGTGAGTGAATCACCCAGCTGTTGAGCAGTTGTTGATARTAGCAATAGTAGTGTTAATTACTGACCTGACGCAATGGCGGAAGAGGGGAAATCACCTTTTAATGGCATTAAAATAGGCGCCCGAGTATGAATGCAATGCTTAAGGGAAATTAAATGCATAAATTACCAAGTTATAGATAATGAAATGACAAAGAAATGTTTTGCAGTCAATAAGTGACAAATGTTATACTGATTTAGGCAATTTGTAACTAGTAATTCTTATTAAGAAACAAATTTCAGTTGCGAGTCTTATTTGCAGATACTTTCGGCTAAGTATAAACTTAAAAGTTTTGAAATTTAGTAAATAGTACTTTTACTGYGTTAAAATGAAGCCTGCAATTGTAAAAAAAGAGCTTTCATTTGTAAAACAAAAGAGCTTTCACATATAAAGAAGAATCTTTACATGTAAAAAAACAGCTTTCATTTGTTAATAAATTGCTTTCACCTGCAAAATGCAGTAAATGTTTCTTTCACTGCTGAAAAGAGGGCTTCTATTTGTAAAAAAGAGCTTTCACATGTAAAAAAAGCTTTCATTTGTTAAGAAATTGCTTTCACTTGTTATAAAGAGAGCTAATTGTTTAAAAATGCTTAGAAAAGAGCAGATTTCGCTGCTAAGAAAATGAGCTTTCACTTGGTAAAGCTGTTTTGCGCAATAACTCATAAAAAGGGTTTTCTGCAAAAAGKACTCAAAGCTTTTCAAATAATTTTATATCATTTAGTGTATATGTTAAAATAACACCATAAGCAAAGTAGTTAACTTTCACTTCCAAGCTGGTGTTTGCGCTAAAACTTTGGAAAAGCTTTGYTATTATTATTTTTCGGACAACACATGAATTTACACGTCTTAAACATTTATTTGTGCTATCAAAACGACAAAAAAAAAAAACTTATAAACTCATTATGCCTTCTGCTGTTTGTCATCAATTAAATGCCCTCACAAATTGTATCAGACCACAGCAACAATTTGGTTTACAACATTTTCACCAGAGGTCTTTATAGTTCTAATACACAACACAGACACCTTCGGTGTCAATGAACAACCGAAATTGCTAATTTCACATATYATTACTAACAATTAGCACATAGGTGCGAAATTCGATTCACCTGTTTAACGAACGCCAGCTTCCCTTTGATTGCACCCCCAGAGCGGTCAGTAAAACATTGCACTTATGTGCAATTCACACCTATTAAAGGGCAATGCGAAATTGTGGAGCACACAAAAATAAATAATAAAACGACTCGCATAAGGAATGAGATCGAAAAACACTTTAGCACATGCTCACCTCCAACAGTTTGGCATCACAATCACCCGTCGCTGGTGTGAATGCTGAAGTGTTGCACACACAAAAGGGTAATTATGAAATCAAGTGCATTGTACAACAACACTTATTGGGTTATAGATATAAAAGCGTTAAGACAACGCCCAACAACAACCATAATAAAATGAAATGAAAACAAGAACAACGAGAGTGATAAACACGCGAAGTGTTGCAGCGCGCGCCCAGATGAGTAGGAGTTAAGTAACAACAACAACAGCTGCAGCATTGCGAACAAATTTATTGAGGGGCAGAGCAGCGCAGCAGCAGCAGCAGCAGCAGCAGTAAATGTGCACATTTTTATTAAGAACTTAACACCTTTGCTCAAGTGTTTGCTAACAACTTGTAAGCGCACTCAAATGTCCGAGCGCGCCGCGTTGCTGACGTGCCACATAAGCTGAAATGGACAGGTTGCATATGCGCGCGCACACAACAACAGCCACAACGCTGCGCCTGATAAATGCGTGTTAGTGCCTATCATAAAAGTAAA